CCTAAGCTCGCACTAGATACATTAGCCTATTTCGTATCCGAGAACCGAAGGGCAATAGCTAGGCCTACTAGTTATAGCTTCTACCTTATTACACTATCTATAACATCTTCTATATCTCCCTCCTTAAACTATACTACTAGCGCGAAGGCGATAAAGCACCTACTAAATCCGAGGACATACTAGCTAATAGCGAAGAGCTATAGTCTATAGAACGTATTCTAAAGCATCGGACTAGGTAGGGCAAGAAGGAGTACCTATTAAGATAGTAAGGCTATTTACCTAAATAGGACTTATAGGAGGCTAAAGACTCGTTTAAAGATATAACTAAGTTATTAGATAAGTATTAGACTAGCGTAAAGAAGGCAAAGAAGGCTAAGAGCTTATAATGCCTATAATGTTACTACTAAGCCTAGGAATAATGCTACCCCCGGGGTGCTATTAGCTAACTAATTAGAGGCAAGCAATTGTTAGCAATAAAGGATAATAAGACTATACTACTATAGTAAACGCGTACTAAGTGTTAATAAGCGCGCTATAACGCGTCAACTATTCGCTACTCTTCTAGGAAACTACCTCTCTACTAACGCGCCCTACGAGGCCCTTCTCCTAGTATTTAGGTCCCCCTCTTATTCCTTTATTCTATTAAGGCCTCGAGGCCTAAGCGATCGGCGAGGACGGCGTCGCGCTTGTAACGGCGCGGCCGGCGCGACTATGTTAGTAACGGTATTGCGGAGTGTATTACTACTTAAGAAAGGAAGGATACGGCGATACTAGTAACGGTATTACTAAGTTATTGTTAGTTAAAGAAGGAAATTAGAAGCAAGGTAAAGTTAGCGCTAAGACGACTAGCGCCGCTATTATTAATATTACTTGCTACTGTTACTATACCTACGGACACAACCTTACCTGCCTTTAATTAAAACTTTAATTAAAACTTTAATCAAAACTTTAAGCCGCTTAAAAGATTGAGCGACTAATAGACTAGCTAACTAAGGGCAAAACTATAGAGCTAAGCTAGCCGGGGTCGATCTTGCGGATAATAGGTTACTCCTCGATCTATCTAATCCTTTAAGCGAGGCGAACCTCTACTACTACACTTATAATAGCCTTTACCTATAGAAACTAGACGAGCTGTGTTTTTTCGGAAAAGATAAGATAAGATTAACAATTGAAGGCTGCTAAACCTAGCTAATTAGGGCTAGCGAAACTACGAACAATAAGAACAATAACCCTCGGAAGCGGACAAACCCTCGGAAGCGGACATTGCTAGGTCTTTTAAGAGTAGACGCAAAGAACTCGATACGACATCACTTAGAACAGAGGTAGTGCTATAATACCTCGTACGTCTACCTGTTATAGTAGGGAAGACGCGCTCGTATTATAATTAGTCGAAGGCCTTTAATTCTTATAGATATATATCACTTTATAGTTTATTATATATAGAGATAGCGTAGTTAGAGTTGTATATTATGTTGTTTAGAGGTAAGGTTTGATATAGTTATATAATTAGGTAGTTGAGTGTTTAATTTAGCGCGGGCTAAGCAGCTTATTAGACTTGCTAAGTTAGCGGCAATAGAGGTCGTAGAACATAGATAGGCTACGAGGGCGCGGCCTTTAGAAGGGAAGCGTGTATTAGGGCTAAAGAGGCTATACGTAATTAGCATATAACTAGGCTAAGTAAAGCTAGGGTCTCAGTGCCTTAGGTAGGGCTTAGCGCTTAGCACTAGGCTAACTTGCCTGCCTTCCTCCCTCTCCTCCTAGCTCCTTATCGAATACTACTTGTACCTACTACTACCCTATCTACCTACTAACATACCCTTCTTACAATTAGCCTAGTAGATAGCTAGTACTGTTATAGTTAAAGCACTTCAACCCGGTTAGGGGATTGCTATAGCCGCTATTGCTGCTATTGTTAGTTAAGCGATTAGTATTATAGGGATACGAGCCCCTTCTACGGCCCCTATTACGACCTCCTCTATATAGCCGCCGGCTACGGCCTCTTCTACGATCGTTACTATTCCTATTGTTAGTATTGTTGTCTTAGTAGGAACCTTAGTTTCCTCCGCGGCTACGGTTGCTACGGTTGCTAGTAGGTCGGATCCTTAATTCTAGTCGTTGCTAGAGCTAGATAGCTCGTTTAGTAGTTTCGACTTCAACTATAAATTAAATACGTATAAGATTGGCCTGTTTAAACACACGGTAGCGGTCTAATTTAAGGACCAATTCCTATCTCAATTTAGGGCGTATTTCGGAGATCTAGATAGAATTAGTTTTAGTCGGGAGGTCGTCTTCGAGGGTCTTTAAATAGGCCTTAAATAAGCGAGCCGATTAATTAGTCTTTTGTTTAGCTCGAAGGTACTAGTCCTAAGCGTGTTATTGCCTTAGTATAGGGTTTCTAAGGGTGTCTAGTATAATAGTTTTGTAAGTCTGCTACTAAACAGTAGTCTAGTTATTAAGGGAGTTAAAATAGTTATCCTAGGTGCGTTTTAGGTCGCCGTTAATGTACTGTATAGCATAGACGACTAGTGAATAGTCATTTAGTAGAGCCCTTAGTACGTTTCGTTAGTTAAGCTTATAGTTACGAATATAGTCGTTGTATTGCTTTCGACTAGAGCTATTAAACACGGTGCAATCCTTAAGCTTCGCGTCCTTCTTTTATACGGAAGGTCCTACTACTAGTTCCGGTTTATTAGTAGTTGTTAGGGCTTCCTATAGGCGGCGAATCTCGAGGAGATTATCCTTTAGCTATTGTTCCTAACGCAAGGTAGCGAGCCTGTTTTAGGTAGCTTCTTAAAGTCTCGCTACTAGCTAGAGCCCGAAGGCTAGTTAGCTATATCGACGGTTAACAATATTACTAAGAATGTCGTTAACGGGCAACGATAGGTTATCCCCTTCGATTATAGGTTCTTTAGTAGGCCCTCTAGTAGGCTCTTTAGCAGGCACCTTAGTAGGAGGCACTTTAGTAGGCACTTTAGTAGGCACTATACTACTAGCGTTGTTATTGCTTACGCTACTAGCAGCAGTACGGTTGTTGTTTCGTAATAAACTGGCTATTATAAGGGGCGACACTAATAATGTATTATTAGCCCCTAAGATACGGATATAGCGGAATTAGTAGGTATCGGCTTAGTATACTTAACTTAGTATAATAGGCCGTATAGAAGGCCTTGCTTAATAATTGGTACGGTTGTTTCGATAGAATAGTACGTATAGGTCCCGTTCTTTAGGCGTAATATAGTTAGATTAGTCTTATTCGTAGCCGTACCGCTAAAAGCTCGAAATAAGGACTATCTAGCTGCTACCCTTAAAGGGTAGATCGAATACTATATAAGAAGGGTTATATTAGCAGGTAGATAGGGTAGTAGTAGGTACGAGTAGTATTCGATAAGGAGCTAGGAGGAGAGGGAGGAAGGTAGGCAAGTTAGCCTATTACTAAGCGCTAAGCCCTGCCTAAGGCATTAAGACCCTAGCTTTACTCGAGCCTAGTTATATACTAATTACATGTAACCTCTTTAGTCCTAACAAATTAGTACGGTTGTTTTAATAGAATAGTACGTATAAGTCCCGTTCTTCGGTCGTAATATAGTTAAATCGATAGTTTTAGTAGCTATACCGCTAAAAGCTTAAAATAAGGACTATCTAGCTACTACCCTTAAAGGGTAGATCGAATACTATATAAGGAGGGTTATATCTGCAGGTAGATAGGGTAGTAGTAGGTATAGGTAGTATTCGATAAGGATCTAGGAGGAGAGGGAGGAAGGTAGGAGAGTTAGCCTAACGCTAAGCGCTAAGCCCTACCTAAGGCATTAAGACCCTAGCTTTACTCGGCCTAGTTATATACTAATTACGTATAGCCTCTTTAGCCCTAATAGTTAGGACCTAGCGATAATAAGGTAAGGTATCGTTTAAAAGATAGTAGCCTAAGGATAGTATAATTATTTTACTTAGCTAGGGACTATAAAGTATATATACCTAATCTCGCTCTTATTTTATATCTAACTAGAATCGTAGTCGTAGTTATAGTAGTAGAAGTATTAGATATTAGGCGATAGTAATTATATTATTAGTATTATAAATAGTCGAGATAGCGAGACGACGACGAGTATTTCTTTTATAATAGTCGATTAGAGGATTCGATAAGAACGTAATAACTACTTAGGCGTACTATAGTACTATTAGCTAGGTACGGATTATAGATAGTAAACTAATAGTTTAGCTACTATCTATACTTTCGTCTATAAAAAAGATAATATATCTATATCCGATCTCTTATTCTCTCTCTCGCGACTCGCTAGTATCGCTATAATAAGAAGTACCGTAGTAATAACAATCTTAAATAGATATTATACTAATAGTAACTATATTAGTCTTATAAATCGTTAATTCTAGTTACTACTCGGGTCTTTTATCCTTTTACAGCTATAAATTATAACTACCTAACCTCTTACTATATCTACTCTATTATATTTATAATATCCCCTATCCTTTCTTTATTTCTATTACTACTATCCTCCTCCCCTCCCTCTTTACGCTCCGAATTTAGTAGCAAATGCGATAAAAAAGTCTCTCTCTCTCCTACTACTATTCCTATCCCCCTTAACCCTAAACCCTATATTAAAGCAGTATAGAAAGTAACAAAAACTAGGAAACTAAAGCCTCTTTTCGCTACTTGCTATGCTACTTAGATATAGGTTTTAGAGTTAGAGGGGGTAGTAGGAAGAGAAGGAGAGCGGATAGTCGACGGAGAAAAAGGGGATAATTGAGATAGGGGGGGGGGGGAGAGTATCGGGGCAATAAAGGTTGAGGAAGGTGGTAGGTATCTAGAAAGAGTAAGTAGAAGAACATCATGTTCGAAAAAAAAGGGGCTTCATCAGTTCGTGGTATCATGCCAGCTAGGTAGGAAGAAGTGCCGTGTTCTTCAAGTACCAGAATGAATGTATATACGAAGAAAGAAAGTGCATCGGCCATTCAGGTTCTATGTATATTCCAGTTTATGATTATTAACTCCAGGAAAGAGGAAGCGAGATCGATACCAGCCAGTAGAATACCCCAGGTTCCAGTTTGGATGGATGGATGGATGGACTGCAAGCTGTCACATGTCATTGATAGACCAAGGCCAGCGAGGGTGCGAATAGCCTCCGCATCGAGCACGGAAATGGCAGATCAGATCAGGATCCTGATTTAGGAGTACTGCTGTCTGAGGTAGGTACCGATGGAAATCGAAGGTGTCTGTAGGTACCTACATATTATTGCAAGGCAAGGCATAGCAACGAGGTGAATCCATGCCATGCATGCAGATATCAAGCGTCGTGGTAGAAGTCTCATCTGGGAAAGAAATTCGGTCAGTAGTGACCTTGGTGTATGTACAGTACAGTACAGTACAGTAAAAGTGATGAGGTTGCGTTGTTGTTGTCATCGAAAAAGAAAAAAAATCCCCTTTGATCACGGTCCGGGACTCGCGTGTTCCATTTCGAATGTTTCAATTTTGTTTGTTCGCCAGTTGGAAAGCAGCGGCAGTGCTTGACAAATGAGCCCATTTGTTGGAATGTATACATGTATTCTAGTAACGAGTCGATGCACGCCGGCGGGAATTTGCGATTGGTCTCACGGACATCGACGGCGCTGGAATTGTACATAGTATGATCGTCTGATGGCGGCACTACTGTGGAAAGCAGCACCGCTATCACATATCCCGTCCAGCTGCCGATGTGGAGGTATGCATGTGAGCGGCCATTTTGGCTGCCACGTTCCAATGAGAACCGTCGTAGCGGGAAGTTGACCCCGTATGAAAGGAACCCCGTCCCAGCCTGGTACTATTTCAAGCAACACAAAAGTCTCATTGCTGACACACCGACCTGCCTCATCTCGAACATGGAGCCTTGCATGTTGACCTTTGTCATCGGCTCTTTCCAGACACCCTGTTGACCGTTTTTGTACAAGTCGTGCTTGGGTGCGTGTTGGCCCGGACAAAGGCGGGTAGCGTTTTGGGAGAGGGGCTGGGGAATTCGCAAGGACTTGGGGCCTTGATCCCTGATACCACATGCAGACATGGTGATTCATTCTGATATCCGGCAGACCACAGCTCCATGTCTTGAGGCTAAACTGAAAAGGCAAATGGATGGTTCCTGGTATCCTTGCTGGGCATCACAGACATCGTCTCGCAGGGCTGCATAATAATGAAAAGATTGCATGTGCATGCAAGATGGGGGATGCCGTTTGAAGGTATTAGGGATGGGTGCAGATGCGAGTGCAAGTGCAAGTGCGGGATCCGGGTGATGTGCTCTCAAGAGTCAAGACGGCTGTCGAAGCACGGAGCCCAGGTCCGGGCCTGCATGTTCTCTCGCAGAGGATACCGCTTTCATTGAATCATGTGCCCCGTATACAACATGTCTGCAAGATCGTCGCTTTATACGACAGGTCTGCAAGATCGTGAGTCGTGCTCAAAGGCGGTGAACTATGCAATCGTCAGCAGTAGTGTGCGTGCAGAATGCGCAAGATAGTCCGATACTGACGTGTCTACGCGATGATCGCTGCAAGCATGACGATCTGCACTGTCCCACAGGATAGGCAAGAAATCTGTACTTTGATACTTTGATGGGATTGAGGTTTTCAGTCTTGGATGCCGAGTGCTCGTCGCTACTGTGATCACGATTGTGCTTCAGAGTGCAATGCATGATCAAGAGACGTGGACCAATGATCCGGCGAATCCTGTCCCATGCTGTCTGATTCGAATTGGTTACGAACGACTGGCATGTCACTGTCAAGGTCTATGTCTCTTTCTTGGCATGTTCTGACTCTGCTCCATCTTGGACGACTTGGTCGACGTTCCAAGCAAGCCAGGCCGCAGCGATCACACAGCTGCCGAATGTTGTACCAATAATGGCTCTGCCTCTAGACCCTTGCTTGGCCTTCAATTCTTCGTTGGAGCCTAGAATCGTGACCACATTCTTGAGGTAAGCATAGCTGAGACCACTCCAAGCTGTAGTGGCAGCCACCAGGCATTGGAAATACCTCATTGCAGAGTGCAAATGGTCCGTGTTCAAGTCCAGACTCTGCAGTATGCCTGTTTCATAGTCACCAGCAGTTATCACTGGTAGCGCGAGGGTGGAGCCGATAAGGATGAGCTGCAGGAAGGTATTGTACTTCGAGACCGTGGTGGGATGTACCTCGGCTGAAGGTAGCGAAAAGTCCCAATAACGGAGCAGCGTTTTTGGCGCCGGAAGCGAAGCATAGCGGTAGTATATTGCAGCCACTGCAAGAGATGCATCTCTGCCAAGAATCAAAGTCGCCAGATAAACTGTCGCGCGTCAGTCCCGAAGTGTGCAATTTGTGAAAAAGCGGGGAATCGCAATTGCCTTACGCGGTATCGCTCCTTTCACCGCCAGGGTGACTGTGAGAATGATCATCAGTGCTTTATCGGCCATTGGGTCGATCACACTGCCAGCCACTGTTTGCAGCTTCCATTTCCGCGCGATCCACCCGTCCACCAGGTCTGTGATTGCTGCATATGCGAAGAGCCCGAGGGCCCAAGCATAGTGATCATGCAGGAATAGATACGCAGTGGCAGGTGCAGCGAACAATCGAGTGACGGTGAGGAAGTTGGGAAGATTGTAGATGTTCTCGTGCGGCGTCAAGCTCGTTAGGGAAGAGCGGACCTTGTTTCCTACAGCTTTAGTGCGTTCTCGAGCGAGCTTCAGAGTGTGCGTGATAGGCTGCTTCGGCGTTGGATGTGAAGACTGCTACGTTCCGGAGGAGTTAGCTTGTTCACAACAACCGATGAGGCGTTCGCGGGTGGAGAGGGCTCCATTCGTGCAAGTCCTTCAGGTGTGGCGTTGAGAAGATCACGTGGGGGCTGGAACAGTTCCTGTAGGGCAGTGGAACACGTCACAGTGGCAGAGGCGTAGCGAGGATCCAATTCGTGACATTGGCGGTGTAGTCGTGGTGTGCTGGAAACGTGCGCAGGCGGTGCTGCCGCATACGAGCCATCACAGCTCATCTGCGGCATGTCTGTCATCGGCGCGCGGTCGAGAAAGGTCTGCGAATGGCGTGGTGTCATTCGATGAATGTCCGCGATGCCGTCGCCGTCCCGAAGTGACAAACAGAGCGACTTGTGGACTGTTGAGACCCAAGACCAGACGCCAGTGGGGTATCATCGCGCACGATGAAGAACGAGCGTAAGATGGACGAAGGCGACTTACGCTACAGGGCGGATCAGCACTTGCTCGACCACTGGCTGGCTGCCGCTTGTGCCGCGAGTCCTCCGAGAGCAGGCGAAGTCGTGTTGATGTGGGCCAGGAAGCAGGTGTCCTGCGTAGACGATGTGAGTACATGCATGATCAGTACGCGTGGTCGTGGTTGATCTAGTCACCGAAGGATGGGCCATGGTGTGCAGTGCTGCCGTTGAGCGTTCTGGCCAGAAGCTGAGCGATTTCTGGTGTTGAGAGCTCGCGCCTGAGAAAAACGAGGGACAAAAGGCACGGCGCGTGAGAGCTGCTTGCTCGGTGCAGGCACTTTGCCGGTGCGATTTACATGCTGAATATTGACACGCAGGTGTTGTTGAACGAATGCTCCTGCCATGTCGCTCTAATCCATGTCGCAGGGAAGTGATGTAGGAAGAATCAAGAATCACGTGGGGAAGCTGGAAAGAGTTCAACTTTGTGTCTCGCCGGATAGAGATGTATTACCCGGTGTCCGGAAGACCGCACGCAGAAGAATACGCGCGATGACAAGATCCGCACTTTCTCCGTATGGAAAGATCCGCAGAATCAATATACCGCACCGCACGGAGAAAAAAAGCACCAGCTGTTGCCTCGCTGCTGGTTACTGTTGCCATCTTTCTTCCCGTATCCGACCGGTCTTCTTGCAGTGAAGAGGATCCACAGCAGGGATCTCGAAGACTTCCAAGCACCAAGACGCCCGAACTACTGTAGCATACTTCCGGCATGCGACTAAGCGAAACCATCATTTGTCTTGGAGCTTACCGCGAACGTTGTTCCTGGAATGAAAGCAGACTTCACCAACGCGTGTGGGGCCAAAGATTTCGAGGTCATGATGACTTTCAAAGCATGCTTCGAATTTCGTCTTTTCTCCTCACACTTTCCATACTCGTATTAGCTATAGCGATGAGTTATACTCATGTAGCAGAGGTATGGCCGCAAGGCACCCCAGTACCAGAGCAGAACGCTTCCCATTCAATCCATCCCCGCTCATTGCTCGTGAAATTCCCTCCATGCCAGTACCACCGCCACATTACCATTGTCGCAGTGTTGAATCGTCACATTGGAAAACGCCCGCCCATTCTTCAAAAATCTCCCATTCTCGAAGCCATCCAAGCCTTTCAAATCTCCTTCAAGTCCTCATCGTGACGGAGCTTGCCTTCCCTCCTCATCCTACCATGACCTGCCGTGCAAATTCACGATCCACTGGGCGGCGCATAATCGTCGCCATTTGCGTAACATTTGAGCACATTGATTGTACTTCAGCCGACGTCTTTCCTACCTCTCACGACATCGTCATCATCATCATCATCACCTCCAGATCCTTGTCTGCGGTGGGCTTCATTCTATGTAGCATAAGGCGTTGGCTGAGCAGCATGCGGTGCAGGTGGATAGCTGTATGATTGACCATTAGGTGCAGGTGCAGAGTAATTCGAGCTGTTGCTGATGCCGAGGCCATTCATTTCGGCGCTGGAATGCCCTGACTGCGGTGCTGGAGGAACTCCATACGAGCTCGAGCGGTATGGCATGCCTGCGTTGTGCATCTGTCCATTAGGGTCTTGAGCAGGCGTGCCTGGATGACCCGACTGTGGACTCTTCACCGACGGATGAGGCGACTGAGTCACCGCGCTTTGCGAAGCACTCTGAACGCCGTAGCTCTGAGTTGGAGATCGCACTGCGTAAGGTTGTGATCCTGCATTGCTGTACATTCCCTGCGGCTGTCCATTGGTCGGAGGGCTGTAAGACTGTAGAAACGTCAGCTCAAGTGCTCGATAGAAGGAGCAAAAGCCACACATACAGAAGGCTGGTACATTCCAGACGGGTTGGATTGCGAACCATTGCGACCCTGCATCGGTGGGTAAGATGGAGCATATTGATTTCCGTATGGCATGCTCTGGGTAGTCGACTGGCTCTCAGTCTTGGCGACAGATCCGTGTTGTTGTTCCGGGGGTTTGTAATAACTCCCTCCATACGGCTGGGTGCTGTATTGTGGTCCGCCGTAGGGCATTGCGCCCGCAGACGCTGGCTGAGTTGGCCACGCTGTGCCCGTGGTGACACTACCGTACATCCCGGCTCCTGTGGAAGCGGTCATCCCGTACATGCCCGGGTATTGGCGACCGAAGTACTGTCCGGGAGCTACACCATAGCCTTGCATCGAAGAGTACATCATTTGTGGATGTGCGTTCATGTGGCCGTCAATGGCGTAGTGCTCAGTCTCCTCGACTGGCGCGCGGAAATTCTGCTTCAGGTACAGCTCTGGGCGGACGGAAATGTTCTGTAGCCTGGCATCGGACAATGGACGTGGCAGCAAGTTATTCTTCACGTCGTCAACCTTGTAATAGGAAACCATGTGGTGAGAGATGCCGTTCACGGAAATGCTCATCGTCTTCTTGACCAGTCCATCGGGGCGGAAACCGTAACTGTCTACAAGACTGCCGATGAGCGAGCGCTCGAGCTCCTTGTCTTGGTCTGTCGATGGGATTTCTGGCTTCAGTTCGCCGCCGACGTTTGGTGTAGGGGGGGTGAGTGGGGCGGGCATCTGCTCGTTCTCCGTGCCATCCGAGTCTCGTCGTGGGTAAGGCTCGCCTGGCATGCTGGTTCTCTTGCGCTTCATGGCGCGCTTCTTCTCGCCAGGAGGAAAGGGCTTTTCCAGCTCGCGGTAAATAAGAAAGTTGCCAAGAATACGGCTAGGGCTCCACGCAACGCCGTCAGTCCATCGTTTGATGCCGGACGCGTTTTCCTCGTAAATGAAGATGCTGCCACTCTTGATGAGTGAGCTGCGTTCTCGGTCGTGTGGACGACGAGGCACATGGTGAAGCTTTCCGCTGAGACACGCCTCGAACAGGACCAGTCCGTCCATGCTGTTGTGCACAAAGCCATGAAAGGTGGGAACCAGCGGTCCTGCGCCGCCGCCTGTGCTCATGTTGGACTGGGGGATGTGTGGGATTGAATGTGGAGTGAAAGATGGCGCGTCAGTTGCAGCGCCTGGTTACCGGCAGGTGCGAAGTCCGGCGGATGCCAGTGAACACGGCCTGCGCGTTGTCGTCAGAGGGCCGTGGTGGAGCGCGAGGTGGTGCAAGACGCGCGTGGAGTGCTGTAATATAAAGTTGCTGTGATCTTCCGTGCCGACACTCAGATTTTGAGTGCGCTGGCGGGGTCCAGGAAGAAGGAGCGCGTCAAAGAATATGCGAAGAAGCAGCAGCAGCAGCAGCAGCAGCAGCAGCAGCAGCGCTCGCAAGGCTCAAGCGTCGTTGCACTGTGAGTGGTGGTTAGCTTGTGAAGCGAGCGGGTGGTGGTGCTTGTGAACGGGGCACGCACAAGCACAAGCGCGGTGATGGCGGGCGAAAAGAAGCGCGGTGGAGGGTAGTCGCAAGTGCTAGCGCAGAGAGAAACACAAAAAGTGCGGCAGCGCTGAGGTGGTAGGTTTGCAGAAGTTCTTGTACCTGATGGATGCAGAAGGCTAAGTGGCTGCTCAAGGTTGATGGCGTAGTGAAGATCAAAAGCTTCAGGCTGCGGTGGAAGGTTCGGGCTGGGCGAATTTAAGAAATGGGATTCGCAGGTGCAGGCGCAGGTTGATGAGCGTGGAGATGGGAAGGAGGGCCTTGGGTCTCAGCAGGTAGACTTTGCGGGCAGCGCAAGTCGTGGGCAGCGGACGGACGTGCAGTGCCAGAGCCAGAGCCAGAGCGAGAGCAGGAGCATCGACTAAGGTCGTGCGCAGAGTGGAGGGGACCGCGGACAGACTCGCAAGTCAGTGGACACTACTGGGCACAGGCGTGAGGGCGAGGGCGAGGGCGAGGGCGAGGGCGCGGGCGAGGGCGAGGGTGAGGGTAGGCACTGTGCGGGCAGCGGTAACCTAGAAATGCCTCTTGACGACACTCCCCCGCCGTTAAGCATAAGAGCGACAGAGTTCAGGCTGACCGGCTCACGACGATAGAGTTCAATGTGAGCAACGGCCGGCGTGGGATTCGCTGGCCGTGCGCGCTTGCAGGCCAGGCACGTCGGTCGTCCAGCACAATCGCTGCCACGCCCGCTGCACTCAGTTAGGCTGCGGAGCTGCTCCACTGGGAACCGCTGGCCCAAGGGTTCGTCTGATGGGCAGAGCGCGGCAGCGGTGCTGGGTCCTGCCTGCGCTAACAGCGATTGTGAGGCCTCCATGTCCAGCAAGCGTGCATGCCGGCCTGTTGCATAAAACTGCACTGCACGGCTGGTGCCGCGCGACGACTTACCAGCTGTGGAGGGAGATGCGCATCCCAATCCCGGTAGTGGGCGTGCTGTGCCGACGCGACAGAAGCTGGAGAAGAGAGGCGCAGGGCGATGCGAGCAGATGGTTGCAGATTAGATTGCTGAGCTTGGTGCGAGCGAGCGAGCGTGCGTCTGGCGCGAGGTCGTGCTAGAAGTGCTGGAAGTGCTTCGTGCTCCAGGCCCTAGCGTCTAGCGCGTTGAATTTCGACGTGCTGGGCACTCGGGAGAGGACTAAGGTGGTAAGGTGGTTAGGTGGTACGAGGTCACGGCCTGCCCGGCAGGAATATTAGTAGCGTCTCCACCGCACGACTACTGCGCTGCCCAGTGCACCGTACAGCAAGACTAGAGAGCCCAGCATGCGCGAGGCAGCCTGCCTAAGCTGGGATTCGGAAGATTCCCCTGCTCGCCATGGGCTATAACAGCCGCGCGAGCGCTGCAGCGAACATCCTGCCCACCGATAATCACACACCCGTCCAGGACCGCCCGTCCAGCACTCGAGCAGCAGGGAAGCCCGCTGCTCCTGTCTAGCCACTCAGCCTGCAGATCCGGAAGGCTCGAGCCGTTGATGAGACTGCGCATCCCAGCACCACGGAATTGCGCAGGACACCGGCTTGAGCTCGGCGGGCCACGGCCAATAGCGCCAACATGTGAATAATGTACCAGAGCACACCTGCGCGAGGCAGTGGCAGCATGCCAAACAAGGACAGCAGCGCCAGGAAGCCTGGCAAATGGGCCAACTACATACTGTACCAACCAGCAACGCATCACTTGCCATGTGTGCGTGGGTGGCGACGTTGTTGAATGTGGATAGCCCTCTTGCCATAATGCCATTGCCTTTCGGCCTGTTACCTCCCGCGAGCTTGTTCTGCTGCCAACACTTCTGGGGTTCGAGGTTGTTCGCCGTCGACAGGTCACTCAGCACCGTCAGCACGCAGCCTTCCGTTCACAGAGTTTGATATGCACGCCTGTAATAACCGGCTGTCCAACTACTGCGCAGTCGATCATTCACCACGGCTGTGTTGGACTCTGCCCCAGAGCCAGATCTGACCAGAGACCTTCGCAGGAATCTCAAATCGCGCTGGGCTTGCATCTACTCACCACGGCGGCCATTCAAAGCACAAGCGGCAGCTTTCTCCTAGCGTGGCATTTCCCAGTAGCCGTTGCGGGCAAGCGCACCAAAGGCGGCCGGCTTGGGGCAGGCAGGAACAAACGAGCAGCGATATCCGGAAGAGCATGACTAGCAGGTCTGGTCTTGCAGTGCTGCGTGCGCGAGGGCTCTCCGGTGGCCGGACGTCTTCTGCCATGTCATGCATGGTCTAGCCAGCAAGCCACGTACGAGAGCGCGTCTGAGCGTCTCCCCAGCCCCAGCGCAGTGCAGCGCAGTCAGATTGGCTTCACACCTTCTATGGAATTGTAGTGTTGTGGGTTTACAGCCCCTGAGAAATGGAGGTTGTGTACATCGTATATTATACTGGTGTACACCCATGGATACACATCGGGTATACCCGAATACCAGGATATCCGAGCAATATTAAGCAGCTTGGCGGGTTGTAGGCGGGATATCAGCGTATCCGATAACTCCGCCTTGTGTATACACAACGAGCTCGCCTAAAAGGGTCGTATACATAGTGTATTACAGAGCGTGTACACCATCCACAGGTTGGTGGACCCCATCACTATGGAATTGGCTTACACGCTCTGCAGCATCCCTTGGAACGGTGTGAACTCTAAGGCAGCTGCCGACAGTGGTGGAATGAGAAGCTTGATGAAACGTTCTGCAGCACGAACTACACCTCCACGGAAGTTGATATTGTTATTATCGATGAACGAGATGGATTTCTGTGATGAGGATGCGCTGCTGCTCGGTCAGATAGTGCCCTGCCCTGCCCTGCCCTGCACTGCCGAGATTCGATTCGCTCGCGGATCTGCACGATCGAGAAGGGAATTGCGGTGCGGTGCATGCAGGCGATCCGTCTTCATCGAACTCCACATCGCAAACCAGGATGCATCATCGCTCCCCCGAGGCAGCCAAAGCCACCACCACTCGCTTCATCCGCGAGAATTCCCTTGACGCAACATCATTCGTGGTTTCAGGTGGATTCATGACCAATCACTAGCTTCCACCCACAATACCGTCCACACGGCGCTAGCGTCGAGATTGCTGACCAAACAGGAAAGGCGGGGCGTTGACACATCTGCAATAATGTTCGGTACTTCTCAACCAGACGTCCAGAAGCAGTCTGCAGCGAGCCCATATGCCAGGCGCAGGCGATGCGCTCTTGTGTGGCTGAGCGCACCGCGAAATGGTGAGGTTGATGAGAGTGTGCTCACGATGCATTGCTCTGTTAGCCGGCAAGTCCCAAACATTAGCCGCATGGGCCGGCCTGCGAACCAATATCGCACGGCGGAATACCCTATGCTGCACTGCTCCAGAAATCAAATTGCAAAGCCATCGCTCGGTAGAGGCAAGGACCACCGACCACATCATGGCACTACATGGATGATTGACTATCGTAGCCGCTGCCTGACTACTGATGAATTTGTGCCTCTCACGAGCGCCGAAGTCCTTTTCGCAACCTCTCCTCGGGACACCACTACTCTTGGCGCTACCGCCATACGTGGGGCCTCAATAACTCCCACCATGAGCATGAAGTGCTTGTCTTGTCCAGTCACCGTCTCTTCGCCGAATTGGCCACGCCTGGGCCCCGACGACGATATCAACGACTCGTGGCGCGGCATTAGCCTTCTTCAATCTTACTGCAGACACAACGGCAAAGCCATTGCGCTGGGTCAGTCGCAAACCATGCTATATCACCAGCTTCGCAAGAGCCCACGCCATTTATTTAGTCGAGTGGACATGTCGTTGGCTATTGCACACAATGCCCTTGCGACATTTCGAAACGTATTCGAGTGTCCAAGAAATCTGGAAAGCAGGTCGATCTTGATGTTTCAGGTCCTTAGGAGCGGCGCAGTGCTCTGAGTAATGGTGCTCGGCGACGCTGCATAACCTCGGTTCTGGCGGATCTCTGCTACATCTCGCCCTTCGAAGGCGCATTTGGGCCGCCCATGTTGGATGTTGCATCTGCAATAGCACTTGCGTTATAGCATGCGACCCTTGAACTTTGAGTTTGAGGATGGCGAGTCGTGAAGCGTGCAGATCTGAGGTCTCAATACCTTCGCCAACTGTGCGACAACTATACTGTCGGTATTTGGGAAGGCACGAAAGTGCCTACTGACATCACTCTTCAAATTTTCAACGACAACCAGATTAACGGACCATTCATCGGGCTAGCGGCTCGCAACTCGCAACCCAAATCACATCAATGCTCCAGCAGATTTGTTTCACTCCGCCCAGGTGACATGAAGACATATCGACAAGTGGAAATGAAACCCTTCTGTCCTAACCAGTTTCTCGGAATCGATCTCCTGCAACAGCCATTGCACCACTGCGATGCCAATGACTCGAACTATAGGCCGTCCAGCTTAATATCGATTATTACGTGCATCCATCATCAGCATTAAAGGATGAGCGACAGCTTATCAGGCGCTTGACCGCCATTATTTACTCAGTCATCGGTCTCTGCCATTCAACACGAATCACATAGTAAGCTCATTTGCAAACAACACGTCTTCAGATTCACATACCGACGATACGCCCAAAGAAGCAATCTAGGATGTCGCAGTGCTCAGGTTCCCCCGACTTTGCATTGAATGCTTCCCATGTGCCGCTTAGAAGCACCCAGCTATCGCAAGACAGCTCATCCCAGTCCAAAAGCTGGCTGAACGAACCGATAGGAATGCTCGTATCAGTCAGTGCAGGCAACATGCCTTCTACAGCTCTCGTGGCCGCACATCAGGCGGGTAAAGCTTTCTAAACTGAGATACCTCTTCCCGCGAGTGAAGTTCATGATAGGCATTTTTAAAAGATGTTTCTCCTTCCCCAGAATTGCTATTCAATATCAAGAAGCTGGTGAAAATGCCGAGAATTCGAGACCGAATGTTGTGGCAGAAGAAAGGTCTACGGTCACAGTGGTGCCACCGCAATTGTCCTGCGACTGGAGAACAACTGGCTGACCCTTCGGCAGAGTGGTGCTCTTGCTTTGTTGCGCACCACTTCTGTCTGACAAAGCAAAGCAAAGTTGCAAAATCAGGAACGGGAATCAAAGACAGTCGCGTCAACCAGTCGTCCAAGTAAGCTCTCCTAGCTGCTGAACTCTGTGGTGTGATCTCCGTGACTAAGTTCTAACGAAATAGAACAGAGTTGATGAACACA